ATGCCGCATAGTACTTCCAATCTTAGTCAGGCAATTGTCGCTACCATGGGATGGCTCGTGTGCTCGTCGGCCACCAGGTATGGCGCCCGCCATGGCTCGCGGCACACTGGTGATTCCGCCACTACTCCTATATGCTATTTGTGCCAAGCACGTGAATATGAAAATAGCCGACATGCATGCTAGCAGTCAGGGCGTGCAAGGCCACAGCAACCGAGAGTCTGTCGCCATCTGTGGCTATTGTCTTGCCCTTGCTAAGAAGCTAAGGTCACAGGCATGACAGCCATGGGTACAGATCCGAAGGGAGAGAATAGAGAAGGACCGTGGTGGCACGGTGCGTCGAGGACGCGACACGAAGGCCGTTCAACATAGACCGGTGAGGAACTCACAGTGGGTTCAAAGAAGAGATGTCATCGCAGGCAGACGGTGGGCAGCGCCAGGCCAGGACCGAGCAGCTCGCGATGTCGTGGTGCAACAAGATGGAGCGGGAACCGCCGATGCCGGCGTATCAGTTGCCGAACAGAGTGGCGATCAATCTGGTGCTCATTGGCATAGCTGATTTCAATCCTGCATTGATGATGTAGGGCACACGGTCTCAATCTATATCGTGGAGTCCGGCGGCAACCGAGCGGGTGATCGGTGGCAACTGGCAAGGAAGCGGCTGATTGCTGATATACCGTGACTTTCTCTTTTGGTTGATATGAGATTGAGATTGAAATGGGAGCGAGGAGACAATTGAGATGGGAGAAGGGATCGTGACTTCCCATTTTGGTCGAGAAGACGGCGCGGAGCGAGACGGGCATCGCGGCGTTTCGGCCGGGTGGGTTTTCTTTGTTTTTCATTTTTTTTTATGGAGGTAGCCAGGATCGAACCTGGCTTGCCACGCATGGGGACACGGAGTGGAGCGTTGAAGCCTAGGCATGCGGATGATCCAAAGAACCTTGGCCATCGGATCCAGTTGAAATCTTTGAGGGTTGATTCTTAGCCATTGGTTTTAATAAAATGGAATCCTGGGTACAAATTATTTGGTGCACAATGGTTGAGCTGTCTCAGTGGGGGAAGCATTCTGGAGTGTACCAAGGATAATTTTGAGTGTTCCTTTATGGTAGAGATAATCCACTCTATTCTTTACCAGCTTATCAGGACAATTTTTTCAGACGGAGGTGGGATTTGATCGCTGGTTGTCGCGGGCGTGGGGATGCCTGCCGAGCGGGGGGAGGAGCGTTGAGGCATTTGATAGAAACAATGGTGGGCATTGGATCGAGTTGAAGACTGTGAGAGGATTAAGAGCCATAGATTTTAATAATGTTGGAATGTTGGGTATAATTTTCTAGATGTACAGTGGTTGGGATGTCTTAGTGGGGGATAATTTCTGGGGTGTACCTAGGATAGTTTTGAGTGTTCCTTTATAGTAGAGAAGATAATGGTGACAATAACTGTGAACTCGATGACAACATTTGAGTGTTGGGCCGGAATGCAACCTAGATTCGACAGCTTTTCTATAAACATTTCTTTTACAGAAGATATTTACCGTACTAATTTGTGAAAAATAGTGAAGCAGAAAGCAGCAACATTGCTTCAAATAATTTGATCATTATATAAATTAAATCAAACAATCAAGCTTGTGGTAGAAATATTAAATAGTCTGGATACTTTGATTATTACAAACCAAATGGAGCAACCAAATAAGTTGTCAAAAATTGCACAGTCTATATATTTTGAATCTTTCTGACCAATGAAAAGGCATAAAGTGACTCTTATTGAACTAAATTTTTGTCCATCATATATTGAAAGTTCATGTCAAAAGCGCGTAAATAATCTCAAAATTATCTATATTTCTCTAAATCGGTGAGTAGGCATCATGGCTTCTCCATGGACGCAACACAGTGTCATGGGCTACAAAGAAAAAAACTATGTGAAAAATTAAATCAATGAATTACCCCAAAAGAACCTCACCTTTAAATGCATATGCCTGATTACAAATAGAACAGAATACCATTTGGATGAATTCAGTAGTTGTCACTTCACCTATCATGCTCGAGCAAAAAATGTAATAACTAAAACTTTAATTAGTCAATAGATATGAGGACATCGATAATGCGGTACCTCTCTTATTTATTTGTACATGGAGGGCAGCTAAAGTGCGCAACTCTGATGTCGCTTGCCGCCATTCCCATATGTGACGCAATATGTGTGATTCCTTGATGTTTATTATGATGCACTTGTACCTACAAGTTACAAAATTGATTAGCATCGACCAATGATAAAATTTTCAATCTATACTATCTCTCACAACTAAACAAGTACCTTTCATTTATCACCACCACATGTCTGTACGGGCGCATCCGAAAGTCATCCCTTCCTTCGATATCGGCCACATACACAACCATACCAATGACATCTACACCCTTCCTTGGATATCGGCCACATACACAACCATACCAATGACATCTACAAACACAAACGATAGGTATTTATGGAATAGGAGCATGAACAGTTACTACATGATTTTAAATATATGCGTATGAGATATACTTGCAAAAATGGACTCATCCTGATCGTATACATCCTCGATTTCCATAAAGGTACCAGGACACTGAGCAATATAGATAGTTCTCTGTGGTGCATTAACCATAGTTTGTGGAGATAGAATGACATAGTAGTCAGCACATAAACAAAAAATGTAGCACAAGCGATCAACATAAGTAGGCGCATAGCCAACTCTTATGAAGTCATAAGCTTCTCCTAGACCAAGCAAACTGTTGAAACTTATGGTTTGATCGCCGTAGGCAACCGCTTCTAGTTTGGTTCCTTGTAAGAACATTGTAGCCAACAGATAGATAACAATTGTCTGTAGACAAAAATTTTAGACATTGTCCAAAAAGATAAGCTCTGATTGCACCTGCTCATCCACCAAAATTGTACGCAAATAGCTTCGTCCCTATGCTGTCGTACATTGCCTTTCCAAAACACCATGGCACTTACATTCCATCTCAAAAATACGTGTTCCCTTTGCACTCATAGTAGGTTTACTCGTGTGTATTTTATCATTTTGATTGATATGGACAGGATTGTAGATGGATTAAATTCCATGACATGCAAAGGGAACACGTATTTTTGAGATGGGATGTTAGTGCCATGGTGTTTTGGAAAGACAATGTATGACAGCACAGAGGCGAAAGCTATTTGTGTCTAATTATGGTGGATGAGCAGGTGCATTCAAAGTTTATCTTTTTGGACCATGCCTAAAATTTTTGTCTATAGACAATTGTTATCTATCTGTTGGCTACAATTGTTCTTACAGGGAACCAAAATGGAAGCGGTTGCCTATGGCGATCAAACCATGAGGTTCAACAGTTTGCTTGGTCTAGGAGAAGCTTATGACTTCATGAGAATTGGCTTTGTGCCTACTTATATTGATTGCTTGCACTACATTTTCTGTTTATGTGCTGACTACTATGTCGTTCTATCTCCACAAACTATGGTTAATGCACCACAGAGAACAATCTAGATTGCTCAGTGTTCTCGTACCTTTATGAAAATCGATGATGTATACGAACAAGATGAGTCCATTTTTGCATGTATATCTCATACGCCTATATTTAAAATCATGTAGTTAACTGTTCATTCACCTATTCCATCAATACCTATTGTTTGTGTTTGTAGATGTCATTGGTATGGTTGTGTATGTGGCCGATATCCAAGGAAGGGATGACTTCCTGATGCATCTGTACAGACATGTGGTGGTGACAAATGAAAGGTACTTGTTTAGTTGTGAGGAGATAGTAGTAGATTGAAAATTTTATCATTGGTCCATGCTAATCAATTTTGTGACTCGTAGGTACAAGTGCACCATAATAAAAGTCAAGGAACCACACCTATTGCGTCACATATGGGAATAGCGGCAAGCAGCATCAGAGTTGCGCACTTTAGCTGCCCTCCATGTACAAATGAATAGAAGGAGTGGTACCGCATTACTGATGTCCTCATATCTATTGACTAATTAAAGTTTCAATTATTATATTTTTTATTCGTGCATGATAGGTGAAGTGACCACTACTGAATTCAGTCAAATGGTATTCTTTCCTATTTGTAATTAGGCGTATGCATTTCAAGGCGAGGTTCTTTTGGTGTAATGCATTGATTTAATTTTTCACATATAGCAATGATCCAAAAGTTTTTTCTTTATAGGCCCACGCAATCGTCTGCTTGTTGATGAAGCCGAACCGTCACCAAGTTGAAGAATTTTCCCATGACACTATGTTGGGTCTCATGGAGAAGCCATGATTTAGAGAAATATAAATAATATTGAGATTATTTACTCGCTTTTGACATGCTCCATCCATATTCTTTTATAAGGCACACAACATTCAAACATTAACATCTTTGATCAATAGTTTAACATATTTTTTGACTATCAATTATAATACAAAATTGATACTATTAGATTTATATCAAATGTACTATCCAATTATCAAAAGTTTATAAGCATAAACAATATAATATAATAAACGTGTCAAGCTATGGAGTACAAGCATAAACAATATAAGCTAGAACAGTGGTAGTAATACAACACGTGATTAAACTAAAGTTATTGTGGTTATTTTGCTCTCGTTGCAACGCACGGGCATGTTCTTAGTATTTAATAAAATAAAAACTTTGTACTAGTTTTTCCTCCGTCTTTTTATTTAATAAAATTCCAATAAAGGTGCTACACCCCTCCTGTTTGCCTCAAAAAAAAGATTCTAACTTCTAAGATATAAATTGGACAAGATAAAACAAACATGTCATTGCATTAATAAAGGGTGAAAATTAGCTTTTTTGCGCTACTAAACATTTTAAGCATCACTTGGGCCGTCAAAAGGCCCAAATGTGCTTACTGTGCGGTTTTCGCATTCTTGGAAGCCCATCTTGTTCTCCTCCCGGTCGCCGCAATAAACCCCCAGCAAGAAACCCCACCGCGCCTGGCCGCCGCCGGCTCACCGGAGACAGCATCCAAATCCATGGCCTCCCGCCGGGCGCTCCACATCTTCACGCCCTCCCGCCCGGTGATGCACATCCTCACGCCCTCCCGCGGCATCGCCTCGACCCCGCACCTCTCGTCCTTCGGCTGGTTCGACAAGATCAAGTCCACCATCACTGGCAAGAAGCCCGAGGAGGGCTCCGAGGCGTCCTCCTTCACCCTCATCCGTAAGTCGCCGACATGCCCGAGCGCTGCTTCGCCTCGCTTTCCGTAGGCTAGTGGCGGTGCGGCAGCTTGACCGGCCTCTCCCCGGTTTCGGTTTGATTTGCAGAATTCGCGGACACGATGGAGAAGGCGAGGAAGCTGGGCACGTTCAAGAACTTCGTCGCCGGGCGGGCCAGCGAGGCCACCGTCGTCAACGCCTTCGAGAAGCACTCCGCTGTTCTGCGCTACCTCGGTGCCATCGACCCCACCGGCGAGGTACACACTGATCTGATTATTTTTCCTTTCTTTGGATACAGTGCTTGCTATTTGGGGTGGGGATAGATTAATTTTCTGCACCGTAATTTTATACAGAAACTCCGAAACACTGACAAAATTAACGCGACCAAGCACTGCAACTGTACGATTGCTGAGGTGGAGCACATTCTGGCCAAGTACACATGGGCTAAAGAGGCTCAGAAGAAGATTGAAAAGCTCAAGGAAGAAGGGAAGCCATTACCGAAGTCATTTAATGAGGTAACTCTAGGAAGCCTGACAGAGCCATATTATACTTGTGTGGTATGATACGCAAAATGCTATTGGACTATTGAGGATTGTTGTCCCGTTTGATTTTATTATATATTCTACTATGCATTGTTGCTAATGGCATTGGACATAATGAAACTAATAATTAAACGCATACCAGCAACAGAGGGAAGGTAAAAAAATATATACCTATAAAGTACATAGCATGTTTTGAGTAATGAAAAAATATAGGCACATTAGGCTGAACAAAGAACATTATACCATACAGAAAGTGAGGTGTGGTGTTGTGAATATATAGAGAAGGAAATGCAGTAGCTTTTGTTTTTCATTCTCATTATGAGATTATTCATCATTGAACATCTTACTCAACTGGTACATCCAAGTGTCAGCATGTTAGTTATGCTTTGGTACTTTTTTCAGTTTTTGTGTGGTCGTGTTTGATATATCTGACTTCGGACTTGCTCATTTAGCAAATGCTACTCTTAGTGTTCTCTTCATTGTAAACAGCTTTTTGGATTATACTCCCTCCATTGCAAATTATAAGTCGCTTTGACTTTTTTGGTGCATCCATTTTACTATGCATCTAGATATTATATTATATCTAGATACATAGGAAAATGGATGAACCAAAAAAGTCAAAGCGACTTATAATTTGGAACGGAGGGAGTATTTAAGAAACTTCGTAAACAGCTCAATGGAACTTACTTGGGCTGGGAAAAGTGTTTGATGGTACTATATATTATTCTCAATTTTTTTTCTATTAACATCAGATTCTGATCTCCTTGATTACCTTGCATCAATAGTTTTTTTATTTAGTTTTTTTTGGGTTGTGCTGCACTGTTTGAAATTTCTAATCATACCTTTTTTTAGGTCCAAAATCTAATGGGTTCTACACCAGTGGATGTCGGCAGAACTAATCTGGCAAAAAGTGGTCAGATAAGTAGGAACGCCCTCTGCCCATGTGGTTCTAAGAAACGATATAAAAGGTTTGACATTTCAAGAATTGTTTCCATTACTAAACTGCACATGCCTTTCTTTGATTTATAACATTTCCAATTGTTGCAAGTGTCATGTGCTGTAATGCCTTAAATATGGTTATTTGTGGATGATAACACACACGTTGTTTATTTACTCTACTATATGAATATGCATGATTTTAGAGTAATATTATAGCATTGTAGTATTATATGCCTTCGAATCAACTTGCAGGCGGGCTCGTTCGCGGCTGGCCGCTAACCCGCCTCGCTTGCCGCAAAGTTTATTAGCGGGCTTGCGGCTTGCCACAAAGCTACGGATCTTGCGGACAAGTGTTCTGCGGACACAACAAACTTGTATGCAAGACCCGCAAGACCCGCAAGACATACAGTACGATATCTAAAAATTATTAGTATCCCCAAGCTCAAGTCTGACCTTTTTCCAGAGGCCCTCCATCAATTGCCCTACGTTAGGCCTGTGCATTTCAGAAGTTGCAACAAATATATTCTTTTGGACTGACTTTCAAATTGCTGTAATCAGTCAGTGTACGGTAAGCAATCAATCTAGCTAAGCTGTATATTAGCAAGGAGTAAATGAGTATAAGAATTTCTTCAGTATATAATATGACTAGACGTCTAGACGTGCTTTTTATGATTATCTGTTACTTGGTAAAAAGGGCATATCATCCAGAACAGCTTTCAAGTCTGCAGATTCAGATTCTTCTATCTCATAGGCAAGAATATCTGGCTGCGGAGCATCTTCGATCGTCAATTTATAGTTTATTCTAGTAATTCCCGCCACAACGCACAGGTATCGCCTAGTTGCAAATGGAGTACTCCATCCTGGTTACATGTGGACTTGAGTAAGTCAAGTCAGTGTGTATCAGATTCAGACTAGTTGTTTACGTCAGTTGCTTGCAGACAACAGTCAGTCAGACAGAGCAACAGTCAGATTCAGACTAGTTGTTTGCGTCGGTTGCTTGCGATGCAAGGGAGAGCAGAGGAGGGTGTTGCGGGTCTTGCGGGTTGTTGCGAGGCTTCTCGCTCGTCCAACGGGCTTGGAGGGTTGGAAGTCTTTGGGCCACGAAAAAATTGCAGCTGGTCTACAACAGCCACGAAGCCCAGTTTTGCGGGGCGAGCGGGCGGGTTACGTTAACAACCCGCCCCGCCTGCAACTTGACCTTCGAATGACGAAATGCATATTTTGATAGGATAACCTCTCCCAGTTTTAGTAGTTAAAATGAGGATACTCTGGTCGTATGATGGGACTATGGTTTTTTCCCCTTTTGTGTCTCTGGATTCTTGCTGGCATACCATAATTTATTTTGTTTCCCTTGCTTTGTTATGACAATTTGTTCTTTGCTGCCTCCAATGTGAAGGTGCTGTGGAGCTTCATGAGGTGAACAACCACCCTCTCGTTCACAAGCACATGCAGGCCAGGTGCAGCATTTTTAAGCTCTTTTTGGCAAACTCTACCAAGCTCTTTCGTGGACAACACCTGAATGTGAAGCTTGCAATTTGTAAATCACTTTGAGCGAGCCCAGTGTTTCAGAAGAAGGCTTTTACTTGAATTCTGTGATTTCTTGATTGGTGTTGTTGTTTGACATTGATTCGGTTTGACCATGTACACGAATCTAGGTAATATATCCCTAGCTCGTTTTCTGCAACAAGATTTGTTTTAGATTCATTATTACTCAGCATTTTATGTTCTACTCGGCAGCTTCATTTTTGATGGATGTGTTTGAATAAAGCCGATGGAGGTCCTTTTCTTCATGTCTTACCTTTTGTTATTCTGTATTGACTTTGTCTAGTAAATTAACGGTTTTACCGTCTGCGAAATTTGTCTAGCTTACTCAGAAACTTGTGCATTCTACTCTGTGAAACTTGTGCATTCTACTTTGTGAAACTATAATGTGCAAGCGGCACAGGCACACACCACAAAGACAAACATGTCACGCAGGACCTCATGCAAAAACTGCACATGGAATTTATACTAAATCTTAGTTTGCCTCATGCACTTCGCTCAAAACTATGTCAAAATACGTACTTTGGTTAGAGCTTACTTTTGAGCTCTAAAGCTCTAATATAAGGTGCGCTAAAGTTTATAGCTAACTTTAGGCCATTTGTTTGGAGCTTTAGCTCTAAAGTTTAGAAAAGAAAATTTAAATAGGGCTTGCAATTGCTTTTAAAAACAGGTCCTATACTTGAGATTTGATGTCTTGTCTTACTGTAAGGGGTTTTTTTGCACTCAACTCCAACAGTAGCCTCTGAATCAAAATTCTAATTTTTTTAGGACCCACCTAGCAGTCACATATTTTATTTTATTTTTCTCTCATCTCCTGTTCCCCCTCTTGCAGTGCAATGCCGCAACACGACGCCAAGGTAATCACTAATATTTTTCTTGACTTAACTCCAACAATAGCCCTCAAATCAAGCCCCTAATATTTTTAGGACCCACATGTTAGCCATTTTTCCCCCATTCTACTTTCGTCGCTACATCGCGTCGCAACTACCAACATCACCAGGGTAATAGCAATGAGGAGTCACATATGGGATAAAGAGGTCATGCCATGGGAGCCGTGTCGTCTCCAGGGGTAGTCGCAACAAGGAGGAATCATGCTGGGACTGCACTGGAGATGGTGTGAGAGCGAAGCCACCGAAGAGGAGCCACGCTAGGGTGGGTGCGCAGCCGTGTCCGGGAGGAGGTCGTAGGGGGCAGGTACAGCTGCGCCAGGGAGGTCATGCTGGAGCGGGTGCCGGAGTGAAGCCACCAAAGAAGAGCCATGCTGGGAAGGGCCAAGAAGGTCATTTTGAGGCAGGTACGCATTGGGATAGGAACACTCGCGCCGAGGGAGGAGCGCACCACGAAGCATGTAGCCACACTAGGAAGAGGGAGCCACGTCGCGATAAAGAAAGCCGACAACAGTGATGGAGGGCCAGGCCAAGATGGCTGGGGTGGCACCATGGAGGGAGCTGTGTCGGGACGGCTAGGGAGTTAGTGGCGGAAAGAAATGGAGGGTTACGCACCACTCAATCTGAAAGGCCCGCTTGATCTAAGGTAGTAGGGTGTTTAGTTCGAGGAATGAGTCCATGTATTTCCATTCTTCACTTTTCGATTTAGTTGTGAAATGAAGGGCCTACTTGGATGTTGTCTTGGTAAACTTGCATGTGACAAACAACATCCGCAAATGTCCGATTTCCTAAACGGTGGACGCTTGCTGCGTACTCCCTCTGCCACAAAATAAAAATCGTTCTCGTTTCTCGAAAAGTCAACTTTTTTTTAACTTTGACCAATTATATCTAAATGGATATTAATATTTATAATACATAATTAGTATCATTAGATAGATTGTTGAATATACTTTCATAATAAACTTATTTGGAGATAAAAATGTTGCATGCATTTTCTATAAATCTAGTCAAAGCTAAGAAAGTTTAACCTGCACGCATCCCATAACGACTTTCTTTCTTGGACCGAGGGAGTAGGTGTGACAGAATCGCCCAATTTATACAAGATTAAGTATGACTGTCCCTGTTAAACACGTTGACACGCACATACCGTCACTTATATAAACCCGACAGTCCGTCGAGTACCACAAAGGCCTCGATAAATCAACTTCACAACCAAGATCGTACTCGATTAAGCAAATACATATCACATACACAGAGTTTGCAGTGGAAATAATATTACAATAGGGTCACAAGTGGTTAATACAAGTTCAATTTCAAATCTAATAGGTTAAAACAACATAACCTTGAAATGATTACCAAATCATAATTTTGAATCATATTGCTAGCTCTGATGACACCCTCCAACAAAAGCATAAATGAGAAGCAAGTACAGAATAGCCAAGCCCACGGGCACTTAGTCACCACCTTCAGCAAACATAGCACTTCACCTGCAACAGGGTGGTATAAAACCCTGAGTACTCAATTGTACTCAGCAAGACTTACCTGACAGGAGAAAAATGAAGACTTCAAGGATATGCATGGTTTATTTGGTGGAGCTAGTTGGATAGCATAATCTTTTGCAAAAGAACTTACTATGTAAGTCCTTACTTTCAATATTTTAGCATCAAGTTCAGTGAAGCCAATTATAGCTAAGATTGCATCTATCCTATAACAATCATTTGATTAATAAGTATCATAGTAGTAACCATATTCAATTATCATGATCAACAGAACCATCATGTTTTATCAATTACTACGACTACCGGACAGTGACCAAGTTTCTCACTAACCGGGAGAGACGGCGATTCGAATCGATTACATCCAGCTGGCCAGTCCCAAACACACACCCGTACGAGCCCACATTAGCTCGCGTGGGTCACCGTTCACTCCATTCGACGGTGAGTCTAGACTGTTTCGCAAAACTCAAGATCTTGCATCCTCACATGAATTGCTCGAAGCCCGAAGCCCGTAGCAAACATGGTCTTGGACCAGTCCCCTTCCTTTAGGCTCTCCTCCCTACAATGTTAATGGTCCAATATACTCAGCCCGAATGAGCTAATCGGCTTCGCGGTCAACTATAACTCAGGGCACTGTTATGTGTTTGGTACCTTCAATCTCAACCAAGGTCCGATAACGAAGCGGTCTTTAAATGACACAGAAAGGATCAAAGAATACATGCCTAGCCGGCATCAACAACAACCATAATAGCACTGGATCCCGTCCGGTCTCCAGTTATCCATTATCACCTGGTTCTTTTCCACGATAGCAAATATAGCCAACTGTGTCAGAGTAGCACCTATGTCTCGCAGGCAACAGGAATCACCTGACTTCTACCGGTCTAAGTATAGCTAAGCATAGAGCAACCTATACATACTAGTAATGAAAGTACAATCAAGCCTTAATTGTGGGTTTTGGTGATAATGACCACGCAATTAGAGAACTAATGAAATTTATCGAGATGACAAGCAGAAAATTTATATTCAAGGATGCTACACGAAACAGAGGAGCCCCAATTACAAATATAGATGGCTTCAAACTCAAAAGAGGTTTAAGATTCTTTTAATATCTTGAATTTGAGTATAGGAAAAGCCGTACTATAAAGGGGGACACAATGCTTAAGCTAATATGTGCAACCAAGTGCTCAAACAACCACAAGCATCCTCAGATTCATAGCCAAGACAGTC